GATAGGCCTTTTTGCAAGGCATCCATCAAACAATGGATGCAAAAAGAGTCTCAGGAATGGTGGAACAACTATCCAAGACTGAGACAAGCCAAGCAGTTCATCAAGGAACCAACGGCCAAGTTCACGAAAGCGTCAAATCGTTAGGATAACAGTAGGTCTTCTTACTGGATACTGTCGCCTTAGAAAGCACATGAGTGTTATCAATCCAGCAAAAGAAGCAACTTTGTGCAGGTTCTGTGAAGAAGAAGAAGAGGAGACATCATTCCGTCCTGTACCAATGTGAGGGCCTGGCTAGAATGAGGTTTCTAACATTAGGCGAAGAAAAGCCAAACGCATGCAACTATATGCGGGAGCCACTGTCAAAGCTACTAAGTCTAATAAAAAAGACCAAGCTAGATCTGAAAAGGTCGCGGTGGACAAGGACAAACAATGTCCAACTCCTTGTAATCTAATCTAAGCCTCTGGGATAATAATTTTCTACCCCACATAAATAAAGTCAACTGAAGTTTTAGTGGGAAATATTGGTCCCAACCCTTTGAGAACAGTTTATAACTGCTAGTGGCATCTATGGGTTTAATAGGAAATTATCTAGTTCAATAATATAGTTTCAAACAAAACTAGGTTACTCCAGGATAGTATACTTTTGTTCAGATTGTGATTGTGACAATCACAATTAAGTCTTAATTATTTAAAAATATCTTTTAATTATTACAAGTATAGGAAGATACATATTTTACCAGTAAGAAATGATAAAGTTTGCTAAAAAATTAATTTTGGCATTGATGTTAAGTTAATTTTTATATAAATGTTATTGTTGTTTTATATAAACATTTTGACCAGTATTATTAAAATACCATACATCCTAAGGATTTGTTATAAAAGAATATACATATTTTTCTTAAAAAATATTATGGCTTAGGAAATTTTTTGCTTCAAATTTTGACTTGAGAATATATATAATGTGGCGCTCAAAGGGCCTCCGATAGAAGCAGATATATATCTTCTCACTGAAACTCTGCTATTCGTCGCTGCGTTTCAGTTTCTCTGGGATATATATTTCCTATCCCATAAAGTTTTTCTAATATAAAAAATACATTGTGACTAAATATTTGACATATTTATATTAAGATACATAACATATACAATATAAATAAAACATATTAACCCCCATTTAAAGGGTTATAGCAGAAAAATCCTAAAAAAGTACCCCCCAGATGTTCCGGCTATGCCAATTGCAGGATGAATTTAAAAAGCTCGATTTTAAAATTTAGTGTTTTTCACTTTATTCGTTTTTGAGTTATTATAAAAATAATCAAAACGTAAAGATCTATCAAAAATTCCACTATACTTTCCATATTGGTTACAAGAAGTAAAGAAACCATTAAAAGTTTTCAAAATTTCAAATTTAGACACCTAAATTGCAGAATATGACTAGTCACTTGCTTATTAATTTTAACATTAGAACAGAACGTACCGTGCCAATTTTCAAAGGAAAAAATACCTGAACCATGTCATATGAGACATCATCTGTTGAGTAAAGGCCAGACATCTGGTTACCTATTATTTTTTTTCATCTGCATTTCGCATCTGCAATCTGCTAGAGGTTAACGTGTAGAATATGCAAAAGGATTCAATTACATCGGTTCGCTAAATTAAATAATAGGAGATATTAATTGTTATTTTTTGAGTAATAAAAGGTGAAATAAATCAACCGCGTACATAAAGTAATAAAACAATTATAGGAAGAAGCACCTTTGGTAGACATAAAAGTTAAAAAAAAAATGCATAAAAAATTGATAAGGAAATTCATGATTAAAAACGTACCTATATAGACATACCATAGAAAGTAGAGGGATATGAAAAACATGCCACTCTTAAAAGACAGTAATTATTACTTGTAAGATATTCGATCTAACAAAAAATATGAACGATAATATTGAAGATATACATATAAGAAAATAAAATGTTAAAACGGATATCTATGAGAAAACATTTGAGAAATGAGGTTTAGAAAAGAGCTGTACTTACGAGAAGAGATAGACAACGGAAAGAGCCATACGAGTAGTATAAAGAACTTAAGATAACGAAACTATTGAAATCTCCACAGATAGAATAGCTGGGACATATCGATACCTTTTTGCCAGAGTAAGGTAAGCGACATTTATTCAAATGGCCCTTACGATATTTTAGCAAAAAGGTATCGATATTTGAAGAATAGACAAGAGAATGAAGTAAAAACTGTATTATAGAATTATTGATAATCAATAAAAAAGGTAGTTCCAACTAATAAGTAGGTTTAAAGAATTTGGAAGTGAGAAACTGAAAAGCAATCGTTAAGGAAAGGAGGAATTGGAAAAATTAGTCATAGAAGCCATGCTCAAATATTAACGGCAACTTATAGCCTCTTTATATACAAAGCCTGCAGAAATTATGCAAAAGAAGTGATCAGTATTTTGGATCAAAGCTTTAACAACGGAATTTGAGGAAACCAATAATTTTAATGATAGCTAAACACAATAAATATACATCAAGCTGTTAGTTACGATATATTCATTAGGCTACCGATTTTTATCACAACTGTGTCTTTATTTGGGTATAATAATAATAATTTTTCCTACGACCACTTAGGAAAGTGACACATATCACACTATATAGACCTATGGAAAGTGCCCTATATCACACGCGTATGAATAAGAATTTACTTTCCACCCAAGTGAGAATATGCTACTTTCCGCAGTAGCTGTCAGAAAATGTCAAACACATAATTTCTATTTTGATCTATGTAATGTCCATATTAATACTAAAATCGATATGATTGTTAAATTATTGTAAATTAGATCCTAGATATTTATCTTTAACAATTATTTTTAAAATAACTAAGATATATTTGCTTTTTATTCTGGTTAAACACATAAGCGATTAGATCAATCAATTACCGTAAGGCCTGTTAGCTCAGTTGGTTAGAGCATCAACTTTGCAATTTGAGACCGTCCAACGACCGCGATCGAATCCTGGCTGTGCCAGAATTTTTTTTTTATTTTTATTTGTTTAGAAATTATGAAAATTTAATAAATACGATTATTGTTGATTATTTTTTTAAACACATTTTAATTATTATAATAATCTGGTTTTACATTTTTTGATGAAATTATTTTGTGGTCGTAGGAAAAATATTGTACATCACTTGTGTGAAAAGTGATTTTCCACACTCGTAATGTAATATACTATATAAAAAAATGATAAACAATTCTTCTCAAACATTTTCCGATTTTTTATCACACTAAATTCCTGAATAATGTTCGTCATCAAAATTTGTCAAAATTAAACTATGCTGAGATAATGTTGAAAAAACTTTATTTAATTTTAAATCAGGATTGATTGGGAGTGGGTGGCTCAGTGGTTAGAGTCAGGACTTTGAGCAAAGGAGCTCAGGTTCGGATCCCGTCGGTGATACGATTTGTATTTAATTTAATGAATTAAATATTAATTGTAATGCATAGGTAGGATTTTCCACTCGATCATTACACTTTTGGGACCTAATTAACATTGTTGCATAAAGCAGCGCTGGGAAACAGTAACACAGCCCAGTCAGAACACGAGGCTAATAACCATAGCAGTTGATGTCGATGACACACAAACAAAAATTAAGATTTCGTTTTTTTTTTTATTAATATTGGGTTGGAATTGTCAGAAGAGATTTTGTATTATCGGTTATTAAGTTATTTAAAGGAATTTTATTTAAGAATATTGAATGTTAAATGTAATTGATTAATTGAAGAAATAAATAAAAAATATATGAAAAAGAAAATCTGAAAATGTATTAAAAATATTAAAAGACAGAGAGACCAGGCATAAATATAGATACCAATACCAATTAAATTCCTGAAAGTGAATATAACAGAGCAGAAGTGAACAGACGAGAAGAAACATAGAAATAAAGTAACCCTAGGGAGGGAAAAGTGCCATTTCCAGCCTAAAATTAGGAAGAAAAACTCCATTTTTCAAAAAGCGGAGTTTGGATATTATAAATTCTATGCCACAGAACGAAAAATTAGGCCATTGCATTATACTGAATATAATTTCAAATCCATTCTAGAAAGGGCATTGCACAGATATGAAATCCATCAGTAACAATTTATATTTGGTGACTCAGTTACTATCATTTCTAAAAAATTTTAAATAAGAGATAATTCTGTAATTGTATTTTTTAATTATTCTGGTTATATTAAAATATGAATGATTATTGTGAAGAATCGATAAATAATAAATAGCATACTACAACATATTCGTCTAAATTTAAAAATAAATCGTAAATTTTTATAAAACTTTCCATGATGTAAAAGATCCTATGGACAAATCCGGTTTTTTTGTCAAGTTTATTTTTGCTCATTTCATAAGTAAAATACAAATTATTTTTAAAATAGTTATTTTATTTTAATAATCTCTAAATTAATCGTTAACGTTTTGTAGATTATCGTCAGTAGGTCGCAGAAAACATATACTGTACAACTTGCAAATGTAAAACTGATTTCATTATAAATATTAAGCAATAACATTTAATTGTTAACGTAACATTTTAAGTGTTGAGTTCTCTTTCAAAATACCCGGGATTCAAATTTCAAATCCCTGGTGAAGCTAATAATATTTTGAAGTTTATTTTAATTTATAAATAAGTAAAAATCATAAATTCAAATATTTGTGCTAATTATTTTTAAAACCATCAATCTCTAAATTAATTTCTAAAAGTTTGCAATTTTTATATGAGTCATAGAAAAAACATACTGTACAACTCGAGTAGATTATTTCTATCGCTCAGACGATTGTGAACTCTTTTGTTGCACAAACTACTATTTTCTAATATTTTAATAGGGTAATGTAAGAAACTGAAAATGTTTAAAATTTATTATAAGAAACATGTTTATGATAGCAATATACACATACGTAGAGAATTTTTTCGAAATCGTTAACTAGATAACCGTAAAAAAAATGTGTGTACTAACCTGTCATCACAGTTTGGATATTCTGTTGTTTAAACACATCCCTTTTTCTCTTAATAATCTTCCTACCCATCACATAATTCTTCCTAATTTGACTACTACCATTATTACTAACTATATTTTCGCTATTACTCTCCCTCTCGCTTTCTTCGATCTTTTTCAAATCTATTCCAAATCGTTCGCTAAACCTTCTTCTGTCGATATCGTACTGCTCTTGCAACATTTTCTCCGTATCCTCGATGCTGGCGACGCCGAAGAGACACTTTTTGATTCCGACGGCCCTCGTCGGTCTGAGAAAGTTGTTTTCGATGTTTTTGGATTTCAGAATTTTCCTGTCATCGGTACGGATGACGACGATTTTGCACACGAAAGAATCCATTGCCCCAGTGTATAATGACGCGGCCGTGCTGCTTCAACTTCTGACAGTAGGATTCTGAATGAAATGTGAAATGTTGTTGACGATGACGAAGTATACGAAAACAAGGATTCCCCCAGCTGGTAAGCGTGCTCTCTAGCCAATAAACGCGAAGAGGTGGGGATTGGGGACGTCTGCTATTGGTCGGCGAGATTTGGGATGCCAGCGGCGATATTTGAAATTCAAACGCGGATCCTTTTCTTTACTAGTTAGTCTTCGGACTTGTAAATTTCGGAATAAAAAGGTTGGGACAGGTTAATTTCAAGATCTAGCAGGTCGACGCAGGAGGTACTAAATTTAAATCTTTACTCTAAATATGATTAAAATTTTTTTTTTACAAAAATCGTAGGTGTGAAGTCCAAACAAAGGGTGCTGAAAGCAACAGTTGAATATTTATAAACTACAAAGTACATACTAAGCATAGATAAAATATTAAGCAAGAAGTCTACATATAACTCCTCCCTTCTTAAGCTGAGAAAATCAGGAACTGATTATTTTAAATGTAAGTGGAAAAGGTACAAAAGTGTGTAAAATCTTTTCCACTAACATTTCACTAGTAGTGTGTTTACTACTTTCAGTCTACTAATTTGATTCTTTTAAGTTCCTAGACTCTCTTCTTTTTAATCTAGCCCTAAATATTCTCTTTTTATTATTTTCTTGTTACTTTTCGGTTAAAACATATTTTGGATTTAAAATCCGTTTTCTATTTCTCCATATTAGGTCAAAGCAAGGCAGATAATGGTAGGGTTTCCAGATTAAGAAAAGGAATAGCGTGGCGACGACGACGGGAGGAATGGGGGGATAAAATGATTTTTTTTAATTGCTACTTATTGAATTTAATAAAAAAAACCTTATTATATAAAATAAACGCTCGCAAACATAAATTGTCAAAAATTTAGAAAACCAATGAAATGAAAAAACATTTCATATTATAAAAAAAAAATAAAAAAATTAATAAACAAAATAAAAACTTATAGTATACGAATCCATTGCAAAATTTAGGCTACCGCAATTTTAAGAGCGCGCTAATTTCGGTGAAAATTGGAGATTCGCGCTTTCATGTATATTTTAATATTTTTTAATTTTTAAAAATGGATAGTTTAACTGTTGTTTCGCGTTTCTTAAGGTACCATTTCAGAATGCGCGACAGACGACAGACGTTTTCTTCACGTCTGAACACATGCAATTATATGAAACACGTTTCGCAAGACGCGACACGTTCGAGAGACAGAGCTCGACGACACGTAGGTCGGTCTCGGGGTATCGTTTGCTCTGTCTCCGACATGGTACCTTTATTGTTTTTATTTTTAATTATTGTCATAAACGTCTATGTAAATCTAAATAAGAGGGTAAGGTATAGTAGTAGTGCAACAAAAGTGGATATGGACAATCCACTCGAGTTGTATAGTATATTTTTTGTTTAATGACTCACTAACGAAAATCCACAATTTTAAATAGCTATTTATAAAACCAGTTGCGAAATGTCTTACTTTATGTAACGAGTGAATATTTGCGGGTCGAGCAGAGCGAGTTACATATAATGGCATTTCGTAACGTGCTACACAATATTTTTCCTAATTTTGACTAGATTATCTGTAAAATTGTATTTTGGTAAAAAATTACTGACATCTAGGCAACCAATATTACTACTTTCTTGTATTGTTAATTTTATGTGATTAACTTTATTCTTTTATTGACAAATAAAAAATAATAGTTTATTTTTAACGATTTGTTGTAGTGTGTTTATATAGTTTGTTAAAGTTATGTAGATTTCAAGAAAGTGAGTTATTTTGTTGTGTGTTGTGTTTTAATTATTTTGTGCTAATTAATAATAGAAAATAAGGACCATAACAACATTATTACTAGATTGTAATTTTAACCACATTCTATTTTTATTAGTCAATCTGCCCTTCTTTAACAAAAACATTCAATAATAATGTATCTTATTGATTATAAAACAAAAAAGGTTTATTTTTATTTGATTTATTTTCGCAACTGGTGATATAATTAATTTTTCGAAACTAGTTTCATAATGTTCAACATTATGCAACTGGTTACGTATAGTAAATCATTTTGACACTTGCTGCAAATACAAAAAATGTCACTTTATATGTCAAAATTAGAAAAAATATTTTAGGTTATATATTAATTTATAAAATAAAAAAAATATTTAATTTAATTAGTCCCCAGCCCTTTCGCGTGGAAGACAAACGCCGTTGCCTCACCTTCACCGCCACATAGTTTTATTACTCGTAATTAAATTAAATTCATATAGTTTGATTAAAATTTAAGATTTATTTCTAAATGTGGACGAAATAAAAATAGAAATTCTATTATTTATCGTTTCTACATAAGAATAACTCACTTTCACGTATATTTAATCATCAGAACTAAAAAATACACTGACCATTAGTTTGACAGAATTGTCGCTGTATAATATTGTTAACAACAACATAGCTCTATAGATCTATCCATGTGTCCAGATTGGCTTCAGTATGGCCTTATATAGAAATATCTTGTTTTCAATTGATAACTGGGAACGACGTCCAATTAACCAATTAATTTTTTTAATTTTTAGCTTCAAGTGTTCTTTATCTTTGATATGGAGTTTTCAAGTACACTTTAATCCAAGTGTAATCCAGGATATTTAACATCGGTATTTGTATGTTGTTGATGGAAACTTGTGGACAAACACTGCGTTTTGTAGTGAACGTGATTTGTGTGGATTTATTACTGTTAACTTTTATCCTCCACTGTTGCAGCCAATCTTGTAGGAAATTTAAATGATATTGGTATTGTAGCTTTTCTTATGCTCTTGTAGGATCTCGATCTGGTAATATGATTGCCGTAACGTCCGCAAAGGTGGCAATTAGTATCGTTGTCGGTGGTAGGAATATCAGGAGTGTATAATAGGTAGAGGAGAGGGCCTAGTACGCTTCCTTGGGGAAGACCCAATTTTACGGGGTTATAATTGGTTAAACAGGTTTGAACGTTGACTTGCATATATTTGTTGCTTAGGTAGGCTTTAAGTTATAGGAAAATGTGGTAAGGTAATATCTGCTTGATCTTGTATAGTAGTCCTTGGTGCCATACTTTGTCAAATGTCTGTAGAATGTCTTAAAATACAGAGGCACAAAATTTTCATTGACATAGTTTACAATGCTATGGAATTGTTGAATTATCGAGTGTTGTTTTCTGAAACCAAACTAATGTATAGGTATCAGTTCATCTTTAGGTATTATTTTGCTAATTCTAATGAGGAGGATCCTTTCGAAAACTTAAGATAACTGTGGCAGTAAACTTATTGGTCTATATGAATTGGATTTTTAGGAGATTTTCCTGGCTTCATTAATATACTTATTTTAGCGTATTTCCATTGTAATGAGTAGTGAATAGTCTGCAGTATTCCATTAAATATTGTGGTAATTAGCACAATGGCTTTTCTTGGGAGATATTTTAAAACGTTCCCAACAATTAGGTCGTGCCCAGAAGCTTTATATGGGTTTATTAATTGTATTTGTCTGTATATTTCTGCTGGGGAGACCTCCAATATGTTTCAACCTCTGCATCTATATTTGGATCAACTGATGGTAGCGAAGTACAAACTGTGTTCTGCGAGCCCAACTTCTATCAAGTTTTCTTAATGGTGGAATTGCAATAACGGGTCTCTTACATTTTTTGATTGCTTTACATACTGTGTGATCTTGTGATAATAAATTGGAAATATAGTCATTAAATGTAGCATTTCGGTTTTCATTTAATGCAGTGAGTTAGTCTGCTCAGAATTGTTTTATCTAGAGGATTTCTGCCTGCTTGCCATTTCCTCCTGGCTCTTCGTTTCTCAATTACCAATATGAAGTGGGAAATTGTTTGATTCTGCTTTTTTTTATGGATTAAGACAAAAAATTATTAAATATATAAAATAATATATTATGAAAAATTTACCAAATTTTTATTTAAGAAAATTAAAAATTTTATGAAAAAATGTTTTCACATAATTCGTTTTAGATAATTATTTCACAGAACCAGGTTTTTTTATGAAAAATATAAAATTCGCAAATGTATTGTAACATTTATGGATTTATTTTAAAAATGTGGATTATTTAAAGTTAGATAGATTATACCAATTTTTGAAAATGTTCCCCTATTTTATTGAGCTAACCTTAAACTAATTTATGAAACACAAATATATTTTACTAAAAAACCTTATTCAAGAACATTTTTTAGAACTTTTACCCTTCTCGGAAGTTATGCAACAAAATTATCATAATTCATATTTTTTTGCCAAGCTTAAGTTTCATAGTAAGCATTGAAACTAAACCATATCAATTCAAAGAAAAGGTTAAAACACTAATACATCTATTTTCTCCAGTAGCTTTCCTCTCTTTCAACTTTTAATTATTTTATGTCTTCTTCACTAGACTATAAAGTATCCCAAATCTCAGTTAAACGAAAAAAGAAAAAAACTAAGTAGGTACCGTCTCATTATTTTGACACCCACAAGCCTTTTAAAAAATAATGACCGTTTTTTGTCTTCCAAACATTATTATTTCAGAAGGACAAACTTAGTAAAGCGTAACTTTCTTCGGCAGGTGCTGCAATTATTCAGACATGCACAAGCGAGATTTTTTGTCGTTAGTAATAGTTCGTGAACATAAAAATTTCATTAAGTGAAACAACGAATTTTTTTTGGTAAATAGTGAATTTGAATAAATGTATCCAGTAAGCCCAAGCCCAAGCCCAAGCGCAAAACATCGAAGTTAAACAACGATCACGGTTTTAAAATTAGTTAAAAATTAATTAATTTTTTACGTATATACTTTACTATTACTATTTTCTTTACTTACACTTTAAGAGTCTGCAATTTAAACAACATTTTCTAATTTTAACATAAAGTGGCATTTGTTGTAATCGCAGCAAGTGTCAAAATGATCTACTTTATACAATCAGTTGCATAATATTGAACATTATGAAATCGGTTTCGAAAAAATTTATTATGTCACCAGTTGTGAAAAGAAAACAAATAAAAATTAACCTTTTTTGGTTTTAAAATCAATAATATACA